TTTTGGAGTCGTGAAGATGGGAAATCAAGTGACCAGCAAGATTGTTGGTGTCGGTGATGTAACTCTGACCATGGATGTCGGATGTCGACTTGTGTTGAAAGATGTAAGGCATGTTCCTGACATGCGTTTGAACCTAATCTCGGTAGGAAAACTTGATGATGTCGGGTTAGTGAACTACTTCGGTAGTGTGAGATGGAAGCTGGCCAAGGGAAACTTGGTCGTGGCTCGAGGTAAGAAGGAAGGCTCCTTGTACGTGATGCAAGGAAAGATCAATGGCGGAGAAGCCAATTCTGTCCGAGATGAACCTAGCTTGGAGCTATGGCACAAGCACCTCGGCCACATGAGCGAGAAAGGGCTATAGATCCTGAACAAAAAGGGATTACTGACCGGGTTGAAAGGCCAAGCGTTGGAGAGTTGCACGCACTGCCTAGCTGGAAAGCAGCACCAGGTTTCTTTTGTGAGACCGGATCAACCTAGACGACGCAGGTATATTCTTGACCTCATCCATACTGATGTCTGCTCCATGTCGGAAAGATCCCTTGGAGGAGCTCAGTACTTTGTTTCATTTATTGATGACCATTCCCGCAAAGTGTGGGTATATTTGTTGAAGTCTAAAGACCAGGTACTCCAATCCTTTGAAGAATTTCATGCAATGGTTGAAAGGGAGACTCGCAAGAAATTGAAGGTGGTCCGATCTGATAATGGTGGTGAGTATTGCGGCCCATTTGATGCATACTGCAAGAGCGGCCGGGATTCGACTTGAGAAGACGCCCCCCAAGACACCTCAGCTGAATGGACTGGCTGAGCGGATGAATAGAACTATTAAAGAGAAGGTACGAAGCATGTTATCCAATGCCGGGTTACCGAAATCATTCTGGGGAGAAGCCGTCAAAACTGTTGTTGACTTGATCAACCTCTCACCATCACGGCCACTTGAAGGAGAAATTCCAGAAGAAGTCTGGACAGGTCGGAAAGCGGCCTATAATCAACTGAAAGTGTTTGGATGCCGAGCTTTCGTGCATATCCTTAAAGATGAAAGGGCCAAACTTGATGCAAAGACAAAAGAATGCATCTATCTTGGTTCGCCGAGATGTGAGTTCGGGTTCCAACTTTGGGATCCAATCAATAAGAAGATCGTGAGAAGCCGAGATGTGATCTTTCATGAGCATGAGAACATTCATGACATCTCGAAGCCCAAAGTCCGGGTTACTGTCAGACGTGAAGAACCCATCCCTCCTGTCTGAGCTGAAGCAGGGGGAGAAAATCAAGAGAATGAAGAAATTGATGATCAGCAACAAGCTGAAGATGACCAAGACACTGAGGTCCGTGTTGATGATGAGATCCGGGATGTGAATGATGAACCGGGTTCTCAAGCTGAAGAACAGCCGAGATATCCAACTCGAGAAAGAAGACCCTCTACAAGATACCCATCTGATGAATACACCGTTGTTGCTGAAGACGGTGAGCCTCAGAGTTATGATGAGGCTGTGACGAGCTCAGAGAAAGAAGAATGGAAAAAGGAAATGCAAGACGAGATGAAGTCTCTGCACGAGAATCAGGCTTATGAGCTGACCGAGTTGCCAGAAGGAAGACGAGCTCTGAAGAACAAATAGGTCCCGTGGGATTGTAGTGAAAGGCTGCAATCAGAAGAAAGGAGTTGATTTTGAGGAGAATTTTTCTCCTGTTGTGAAAATGACCTCGGTCCGAACCGTGTTAGCCATGGCGGCTTCGATGGACCTCGAGGTAGAACAAATGTACGTGAAGACGGTATTTCTTTACGGTGACTTAGAAGAAGAAATATATATGGAGCAACCTGAAGGATTCCAAGCTCCAGACCAAGAAGATTTGGTATGTCGGTTGAAGAAGAGCCTCTATGGCTTGAAGCAAGCACATCGGCAGTGGTACAAGAAATTTGAATAATTCATGATTGATCATAAGTTTGAGAAGACTGAAGCTGACCACTGCGTATTTGTGAAGAGGTATGAGGCTGGAGATTTTCTGATTTTGTTGTTATATGTTGACGACATGCTTATTGTAGGGAAAGATAAATCGAGGATAGCCGCTCTGAAAAAGGCGTTGAGCTCGTCCTTCGCAATGAAGGACCTCAGCCCTGCAAAGCAGATTCTCGGAATCAAGATCATCCGAGATAGACAGAAGAAGCTACTGTGGCTGAGTCAAGAGAAATATATTGAGAAGATTTTGAAGAGATTTAGCATGGACAAAGCCAAAACAGTGAGCACCCCCCTAGCCGGACACATAAAGCTGAACCAGAAGCAATGTCCGAGATCTGATGAAGACAAAGATGAAATGATGAGTCTCGTACCAATCCGCTGTCGGAAGCTTGATGTATGCAATGGTTTGCACTAGACCCGACTTGGCGTATGCTGTTGGAATGGTAAGCCGGTATTTGTCAAACCCCGGCAAAGAACACTGGGAAGCAGTGAAGTGGATCTTCAAGTACCTCCGAGGTACAACCGACTTATGTCTCCGATTTGGAGAAGGCAAAGCCGAGTTGCAAGGCTACTCGAATTCTGATTTAGGGAGAGACGCTGACTCGAGAAAATCGACGACGGGATATTTGATGAGATTTGCCGGAGGTGCTGTCTCTTGGCAATAAAGACTTCAGAAATGTGTTGCACTATCTACAACTGAGGCTGAGTACATTGACGCTACTGAGGCAAGCAAAGAGATGTTGTGGATGAAGAAGTTCCTCATGGAACTCGGCCATGATCAAGACAAGTACGAGCTGGGTTGTGACAATCAAAGCACAATCCATCTTGCGAAGAATTCAACCTATCACTCCCGCACTAAGCATATTCATGTGAGGTATCACTGGATCCGGGATGTGGTGGAAGGTGGTGAGCTCGAACTCGTCAAGGTTCTCACTGACCAAAATTGGTCCGACATGATGACAAAGCCAGTTCCAGCAAGAAAATTTGAAGACTGCTGTGAAGGAGCCGGGTTGATACTGAAGCCGACGCATTGAAGTCGGAGGGGGAGATTTGTTGGGCTTCCTTCTTCAATGCTAAGCCAAGCCCATTTGAGGGGTTCCCTAAAAACCCTAACCCTAATTTCCACCTCCTCTATATATACTCATTAGTTGTGGGTGGAGGATAGGTCAGATTTGAGAGAAAAATTATTTGATTGTTTGAGCAAAGTTTTATGCTTTGCATTTGAGAGATCTCTAGAGAGAGTTTGAGTGAAACATCTCTAGAGTAGTTTGATTATCACCATTGTTGGAGAGGTTGAGTTAACCACCACATTGGTGTATTTGATTATTTGTAACCATTATTTTCATAGTGGATTTTTTGATCTGGACTAGGTCCCGTGGGTTTTTACTTCTTCATTGGAGAAGGTTTTCCCACGTTAAATCTGGTTGTGTTCTTCTTCTCTCTCTCTCCTGTTTTTGTTTTGATTTTTCCGCTGCGCTGCCCGACCTGGTGATGTTCAGGCCGAGGTATTGCCGAGATCCGAGATCAGGATCTTGTTGATTGACTCCCGCACAAAGACTGCTTAACCGAATTTGAGGGAACCAAGTTGCCAAGATCTTGCTCACCAATTTGGACGGGACTTATCTCATTAGTGGCGAGAGCGAGTATTTAATCATTAAACTGACTTTGATTTTAATATCATTTTATCAGTTCATGGAGTTGTGGAAGACCTTTTTATTTAATTTTATCTTTAAAAGTAATTGTTTTGTCTTATCTAAATAAAAAATTCTTTTAAACTAACTTTCAAAATACAAATTAAATATTTTAAAAATACTTCATTAAATTTAAGCTACAATAAAAATTAGTTCTTTTAGCATAAATTCTTTTAAAAATAATTTTATTAAAATCTAAGCCCAACCATTAGCTTTGGTCTGTGATAACAAAACCGAACTCATTTTTTTGAACGTTTATGCTAAATTAAAAATTCGTTGCTTTAGGGCATATATTTTTTAAAAAGAAAAATCAAAGCTTAATATCACTTACGCTTTATATTGTTCAAGATAAGATATAATGAAATAAGATTTAATGAAATTTATTCTCTTTTCTATCTACTATTATTTTTCTTTTTAATTCGGAAAAAATAAAATAAAAATAATTTCTTATTTATTCCTTTCCTTGTTCATTAATTTTTGTAACCAAAATGGATTAAAATTAGTTAAAAATCCGATGGTTTGGGGCATATTCATATCGATAAAAAAAAAAAAAAAAAAAGCAGCAGCAGCTCAATATTAGTTACCCCTCGTATTGTTCAAAACAAGATAATATGAAATAAAATTTAGCAAAATTCATTCTCTTTTCTACCCAGTATTATCTTTCATCCTTTTTAATTGAAAAGCATAAAAATAAAACTAATTTCTCGTTCATTAATTTGTCTTATTGTTCTTTCCACATCCTAAATAATAGATAAAAAAAATTTACTTTCTCTTAATATAAAATATTCAAATAATAAAATAAACTCATCAATTCACAATTCAAAACAGTGTAATTGCAACCGACATTTTGATGCTGAAAATTTAGAGGGATATTTTTTTATTTTACAAAAATAAGAACAATATTCCTACACTCACAAAAAGAAGAGAAAAAAGAGAGAATAGGAAAAATTAAAAAAATTAAAATGAATCCCACATAAAATTTGACTTTGTAAGAAAATTGTTTTATCTTATATAAAATAAGAAAAACAATTCCCAAATTTAAAACGTTCTCAGTCCTCCAATTCGTTTGAATAAGAGCAAACAGTATGAAATTTTTGTTAGAATATATCGTGAAGGGACACTCAACCCACCACTCAGTGGACATAGTCCGATTAGCGATCTAGAATAAAGGATTTAAGCTCTTAAAACCAGGAAAAATATTTGAGTGACCATACCAACATTATGAAGTAATCCACTATATTTTTATTAAAATCTGAAATCAGGAAAGAAAGAAAAAAACGAGATGATTGTAAAAAGCACAAGCAAAAATAAAGTAAAATGCAACCAAACCAATAGAAACGCATGATCGTATCATCTATACTAACAGCAACAGCGCAACACAGCACCCATGATATTATAGAGATGATAGTAAAATAAAGTAGCATGCATTAGGTGTCTTGATGCAAGTCCTGAGCGCTAAAGCTAACAACGAAATAGCATGCATTAAGGCCTCTCGATACTAGTCCTGAACAAAACTAAAACGAAATACTCACATCTAATCTATAACTACATATATCCTCTTCACACCAATACCAACTATAACCCTAAGATGTCAAGCCGGATCTCGGTCCAACAAATTTCAAGTTGAAGGAGAGGCAGATCTAGGAGTATTCGATCTTGATACTGATCTTGAACTTGCACTCACACTCACACTTGGGCTTCTTGAATGCCTACGTTTCGAATAACCAGCACTTCTTTTAGAGCTTCTCGAATAACTCTTCCTTGGCATGGGGGAAACACTAGGTGAATAGCTCCTCCTTCGAACAGGAGAGGCACTTCTTGAATAGCTCCTTCTTGACCTTCTCCTTGGCCTGGGTGAGACACTTTGAGAGACTGACCTGTAACGGTGCCTTCTGTAGTAGTGATCATCAGGTGAGTCATATCTCGAGTCATAGGGAGAGTATGATCTGTCACGCATGCTTACAGGTGACCTGCTATAAGGGGAGCGAGACCTAGAATATGACCTGCGTCTATCGTAATATGACCTGCGTCTCTCGTAATATGACCTGTGCTGGCTGTGGTATGGAGAGTATGAGCTCCTTCGCCGGTATTCAGGAGAATAAGACCTCCTCCGTCGGTAGTCAGGAGAATAAGAACGACTCCTACTACGATCTGAAGAATATGGTGAACGACTATAGCTTCTTCTGTATGGAGAATAACCGGGAGACCGACGAGGAGAGTAGCTTGGGGAGCGTCTACGTGCTATATGAAATAGGATAATAGGGATTAAACATAAGTATAGAGAATATTTGTCAACAACAAATAATAATATCACAGGAAAGAACAATACACACCGCGAATAGTCCTCAGCCCTAGATACTTCCCAGGTGTTGGGGTTCGACCACGTCGTCTTCTAGCCTGCAGTAAATGGAAAAAAAAACAGCATGAGGACAAGGCAGTAGTACTATGCGGGATGAGGCAAGTAATGACAAGTAACATAAAATCAAAATATTACATATTTACCCCAAAAAAGTAAATCAAAACAATGCAATTGTCAGAGAAGGCTATTACGAACCATAAAAATTAGGTGAAGATGAAATAACAAGATATAAATGCAAGGAGAGAGAGAGAAATGCAGGGCATACAACCCCAATGATCTGATACTTGTTGATGTATTTGATTTGTTTGTTTAGTTGTGATTTGAGAGTTTGATGAAGAGCTGCTTCACACAGCTAACCTGCTGGCTGCCACAGAAACTTCAAATGGAAAGAAGCACAACACTTTCAAAACTTATGAAGAACTTAAAGAGTAAATTAATCATATATCTTCCACGCATTGGAGTTGAACTAAAACCAAAGCATTTCATTATCCGAGCCCAAAAATAAGATATTGCTCATAAAGTATACCTTCTCTACAGTGATGACACGCCCTTCAAGTACAGACCGATTCAGATACTTTAAGCATCGTTCAGCTTCCTCAAGTGTCTCCATTGTCACAAACCCAAACCCACGGGATTCCCTTGTCCATGGATCAACTACCAGATGTACATCCTTCACCTAAGACAAGCAACTCACAAGTAAGAAAAAGTTGAGAGGCAACATATTTAAATCTCTATCGAACATTAAGCTACTTCAACTATTAAATTAGAAATACCAACAAGTATATAATGGGTCGAAGGGCATACCTTTCCCTCAGCAGCAAAATGCCTCTCCAGTTCTTTCTTGGTGATCCTAGGAGACAATCCTGTCACATACAAATTGTTTCCTGGATTTTCTACATCTCTTGATGGGCTCCTAAATCACGAGAAGAAAACAAATCGTGTTCATTAAAGCATTTCAGATAATGAAAAATGATATCAAAGAAGCAAGATTTCACAAATGTAGAATAAAGATTCAGGGAAAAAGAAAAGTCTCCTACCTTGAACGGCTTCTTGACCTCGACCTTGAAAGAGACCTGGACACGGACCTGCTATACCGCTTGAATGGAGAAGGAGAAGGAGAATACCTATCAGATGAAAAAAGAACATCTATAAGTATTAATGCATGCCACTTCAAACAGAATAGCAAATTTAACCATTTAACAAACATCTAACCTTGATCTTCTTGAATACGACGACATCTGCATCAATTCAGCGAACACCCAAAAATAAAAAATAAAATAAAAATCAGTTATCTATAATAAACATTGATGAATTATTAATAAACAGACAATGTCAATCCACATAAATAGCTGAGCCTGCATGTGTATAAAATCAAAAATAACATCTCCAATAATTGATTTGTAATCTAAACTTCTACAATTTAACCATAACAATAATATATACATAAACACGAATTATCAACATCAACCGTAGTTGTCTAAAAGTAGTATATATATATATATATATATATATATATATATATATATATATATATATATATATATATATATATATATCCTCTCCAATACTGAGGCAAAACAATTTCAAGAGATTCTGAGAAAAATTGAAATCCCTGATACAACAGCAAAATTCAAAACCGTGCGAAGAACAATTTCAATTTCTAAAACAAATTTCACGAAACAGAAAAAGCAATCAACGAGATGGTTCTCCATATATCCAAGAGAGGATGAGATTCGAGCTTACCATAGCAGCAGTTAAACCACGAGGGCTCGCCTTCTTTGAAGATGGAGAATCAGCAACAACTGTTTCGGTAAACGACACGTAATGGGTAGCGTTTCGAAAGCAAGAACGTGCCAAGGTAGAAGTGGTTTATATAGAAGAGGAAGTGTGAGGTTGTGATTCCTCTATGAGAAGTTTCTGGAGAAGCGGACGCCAAACCATAATTAAACACGCTTGAATTCTTCGTGGGCCGTCGCCCAATAGCTTCTGTCACGAAACAAGTTTCAAGTGTCCGCATTTTTAGGCCCTGAAAAATGCCACATGGCATGACGGAAGATTATTATCCATAATCATGATATGCTACATGTTGCAGCCCATCCTATTATACGTTGAATCACTTGAAAGAGTGACCATTTTGTCACTTTTCACAATTTTATTTATCTAAATATCATGTCAATAGTCATTTTTTTCAAATTGTCATACAGGCAAGTTCGTTAGGCATTGTAGCGAACTATATATGCTGATGTGTCAGCCTCTGATGGTTCATGAGTTCGCTACTAACACAGGCAAACTTGGGTGCAATAAATGCTGAAACGTATGTCAAGTTCGTTGTCACCCAAAGCGAATTAAGTGTACCACGTGTCTGACATGAACCTAGTTCGCTGGGGGTCAAGGCGAACTCATTGTCATGTGTCAATTGGCACACAGTTCGCTGACTGGGCCAGCGAACTAGGTGCCAAGTGGCAGCAACTGACACAGTTCGCTGGACCCAGCAGCGAACTCTGTGCCACGTGGCAGCTCCCCAGAAGTTCGCTGCATGGGTAAGTGAACTATCTGCCGACAGTTACAGTTCGCTGGCCTAGGTAACGAACTCAGTGCTATTTAAACCCCACCCCATCCCCTTCCAAACCCACTTTGTCATCCTCGTGCGTTTTCCTTTAAAGGATCCATACTTGTTTGTTATTTTTTGCTATTTCAGTACATAAAATGAGTGAGAGTAACAATGATGTAATATGTATTTTATATTACAATGGGAGGAGATATTTTGGACCGAACGGTAAAGTGTTTGAGGGAGATACGAAGATGTTCCGCATGAGTCCGCGTTGCAAATATACCGAGCTGAAAAAAATCATATACAAGAAGTTGAGATTACAATGAGGTCAATCCCTGTCCCGACTGATTGCTAGATGTGCTTCTGGTAACCCGGTGCAATGGGTTGTTGTGGAGGTGGTTGAGGATGAAGATGTGTCACTAGTAGTTGATGCATTTCGACAGCATGGATAGTCCTAATACATTGAGTTGTATGCGAAACTAAACACCGGTGTAAAGGCAACCACTCAAAGTTCCATCCCTACCAGTTACTCCATAGACATTAACAGGGAGCCGCAAGTAAATCTGGATGATATGCATGTGTCACCTCCACCACCATCACCCCCAATAACACAACCTTTAGATGTGATTCCTGCCAATGACATGTATGATCCGTCGTGGTGTACTGATAGTTCCGAGGAAGAGGTTGATGAAGGTCTAGTCCCTGACAGTGACTCGTCGAATACAGACGTTGATGGTGATTTTGAAATGGAGCCGTCTACTGCATTAGTTGAACTGATTCCATCACCGGGCATTGTTGGTACGCATGACCCACCACCTACTGCAGGTAAGGTAATTTACCGTTTGAGTTTTATTTTATTTTAAAATGGTATTACTAATGACATGCGAACTTGTGTCAAACAGGAGAGGATAATGTACCATTTTGGTCGCAAATACCACATTATACGAACATTAACTGGGCACACCCCGATCAAGAGTGTGATGACATGCAAGGGGCTTAAGTACCAAACTAGCAAATGGGTCAAGAGCTCTATAAGGACCAGCAGTTTGAAAGCAAGCAGGATGTACAAATGGCCATCAAACAATATTGTATGGCAAATAATCGCACAACTGTCGTGCTAAAAAGTGATACGAAAAGGCTGATCATGATTTGTCAAAATCACAATGATGGTTGTCCATGGAGGATGCGGGCATATCTTAAAAAAGGCGGTCATGAATGGAAATAGGCATACGGAACAACATCCATACATGTGTTAGTCAAACACTTTCACATGATCACAAACAACTTAACTTTAGTTCCATTTGTTCATTGATCATCGGTAAGTCAACCAACAACTCTATGTTTAAATAAATATTGTATTTGTAACGCTAATATGCTGTTGTTTGTCAAATCGCATAAATGATACGTGAGGAGCCTAGCGTAAAAATTGGCTTAATCCAGGAGAGGATTGCATCTAATTTAGGATTTCATATATCATACAGAAAGGCCTGGAAAGCAAAGCAAAAGGCAATTGTGAGGGTCTTTGGGGATTGGGATAAGTCGTACGCGTTTCTGCCGAGATGGTTGGATTATATGTTATTGTTTTCTCCAGGGTCTTCTTATAAACTGGACGTGAACATAGGATTGATGGTCGTCTCGATGGATCGCACAAGGTGTTCAAAAGGGTTTTTTGGACATTCAAACAATATTGTGATGCATTTAATTATTGCAAGCCTATGCTCCAGATCGATGGGACACATTTGTATGGAAAATACCGCAGAATGTTATTGATTGCTACAGCTATTGACGGTAACAATTATGTCCTGCCTGTTGCTTTTGTTGTTGTTAATTGTGAGAATATTGAAAATTGGTCCTAGATTTTGGCTATGTTACGGATCCATGTGACTCAGAAAGATGGAATATGTCTTGTTTTTTTATCGACATATCGGTATATTGATGGCCGTCAATAATGTTGACTTAGGGTGGCAACCACCCAAAGTGTACCATGTTTTTTGCCTAAGACATTTGGCAAGTAATTTCAATCATAAGTTCAAAAATATCATGTTGAAGAAGCAGTTAGAGAAGTTAGGTATGGTTCTTGCTCTATGTTTCCTGTATCGTTAGCAATTGTATGTATATTACTAATGTAATTGATTTTCAAATATGTGTTGTCATGCACAGGTTACACTACATCGCGATTGGATTTTGACGCTGGTTTGGAAAAATTTAAAGAATCAAGCCCACAAATTGCAACATGGATTAATCGAATTTCGAAGGAAAAATGGAGTATATTGTACGATGCTGAAGGAAGACGATTTGGCCACATGACTACAAACTTGCCCGAGTGTGTTAACAAGATTCTTAAAGGTGCCAGAAACTTACCAATCACGTCTTTGATGCGCATCACATACGCTAGGCTAAATCAATACTTTTTGGCACACGGGCAGGAGGCTCGGGAAGAGATGGACAAAGGTAATCGTTACGCCAAAGTGTTCTGGGTTTCATACGTTAAAAACCAACAAAATGTTGCAGCACACTTTGTTACATCATATGACAGACATAAAACACGATTTGAAGTTCAAGAGTCTTACAATCAAAGAACTCATAGAGGCAGAAATAAATGGTGGGTTTCATTAGCTGATCGAGTATGTCAGTGTGGTGAGTTTACTGCTTTTTGGTACCCATGTAGTCATGTGATTGCAACATGCAAATCAGGAAACCATGACCCCTTACAATACATTGATCATGCATATAGTGCATCATATCAATGCCAGGTATATTCCGAGCAATGGTACCCAATTGGTAATGAAGACTTCATCCCACCCGGCCAAGGCCCAACCATTCTCCCGGATGTTTCACTTAGACGTCAAAAAGGTAGGCCGCAAAGTACCCGCATCCGTAATGAAATGGATCAGCGCGAAGGTGCGACTACGCAGGCAAGATGTGGTTATTGTAGGGTTGTTGGCCATGACAGACGTCGTTGTCCATCTCGCCTGCAAGGCACATAAATGTCAGGTGATCGTGTGATACAAACTTGTTGAAATGTTGTTACCTTGTCATCCTGCGTGTTGTCACGTGTTTTTTGTAATGTATTTAATTATGCATGTTTTTATTTGATTTCATTATCGTACATTGTTATCCAATTTAGTGATTGTAACTTGTTTAGTAAGAATATTATCGTGTGCGTGTTGGTAATTAATCCTTGTTTCGTATTGACCCTTGCATTGCATATACCGCCACATGATGCTTGAATAACATCAAAGCCAGGAAACAGTAATAAATGGAAAAACATTTGACATGCATAAACATAGAATGAGTACCCAAATAAAAACAGTAAATACATATAAAGTCATATGATAAATCAGCAAGTCACTGTTGTCGCCTCCTCACATGATACTTGGCACAACGTGCCTGGTCATGCTCATACGGTGACAAGAAACACCGTTCCCTGGCCTGTCTATCAGGGTTACGCTTGATGCCGTCTCCACCGTCTCCTCCGACTGCAATGGCTGCTTCGGATCCTTCGTCCCCATCAACATCGTCCAAAACCCCCGCAATATCCTCCTGTGAAACCACACCTGTAGGACCAGATAAAGGTGACTGAAGATAGTCAGTCGAATATGCCTGCGGTGTGGCCATGACGGCAGGTGAATCGAATGTCGGTCTGTAATCCTCTGTAAACTCATCCAGACCGGGCTCAGGCTGCGAACTAGACTACCCTAGAAAGTGGTTATGCTCATGCGCATGAGGCTCAACATGCGAATAGGATGGTCCACTGGTCTGACCTGGGAACGACTGACTGAAATGTTGCTGATATCTCGGATACGATTGCGACGGTGCTGAAAACCATGGGTACTCGTACTGCGACGATGGGACACTAGGCTGCCCAGAACCGCCCGTGGGAGGGAAAAACTGCGGAGGCCACCAGTACGGCTGCGACAGACCACCTGAAGGTGCGTAAAACTGCCCGACTGGACGCGGTGGAAGAGACTGCACAAGCACAGGCCGATCAGCCGCTGCGGGAGTCTGATGATTTAGTGGCAATCCCTCGTGGCATGCACGCTGCCTACGACGCTCAGGACGAAGCGGCTCCACTGTCGGCGGAGATGCAGGCTCTCTAGGGTCTGTCAGTCTACCAAACTCAGCAAATGCAGACATAGCCTGAAGGGCCTCGTCATATTTCTGGCGGTAAGTGAATGCTCCCTGCGCCTCGTCTGATGCCATATGAACAACAATCTTGATGCGATCACTCCGTGTTGCGAAAAAAATGTAAAATTTATGATGTCATTATGTCGTTAGCCAGAGTTCGCTGATGTGGCCAGCAACCTCTGTTGCGTGCATG